GACCGCCGGGCGCGTATCCCCTCCACAACCAGAAATTAAAATGTATACCTACCACGGTTCTTACAAAACATAAACTTTTGGTTACATCTTAAATGTATAGTATAACCTCCTTGCATGACGCATAAACATTTAAACATATTTAATTTGCACTGTTCCTAGATAAGTGCGTCGAACGATGCGTTAGTAAATGTCTTCCATGAAATTGTTTTTGTAGAATMGTCTATAATTGTTGCATAGATCCCTGCATAACCTTTTCCATGAACGCAGGGGCGTGACAAAAAATAGTATGTGTGGCTCGCGCGGGAAGGCCATTTCAGTTTTGGGCGAAATGGCTCACTTCCCGCCCTTGCCACACAATATACTATTGACGTTTGGTGCACCTCATGTTCTGCAGTCCGATAATGGTCGCGAATTTACTGCTGGTATTATAACAGAATTAGCGTCATTATGGCCCGATCTAATATTAGTAAACGGTCGGCCACGTTATCCACAAAGCCAAGGATCTGTAGAGAGAGGGAATTGTACGCTTAAGGATTCATTGGTGGCGTGGATGCGAGACAACAAAACTGCCACGTGGAGTTACGGCCTCGACTTTGTACAATGGGGCGTTAATACCACATACCACGAAGCTATAAAGATGACTCCATATGAAGCAGTTTTTGGTAAAAAGCACGAATGGGGCTGGCAACAAAAGTACCTCGAGAATTATTAGAAAATATAATGACAGGAACGTTGGAAGAGGATATGTTGGACATGTTGAACGATGATGACGTAGAAGTACTCAATACTGAAGTGAGTAGAATTAATAATATAAGGGATTGCATTTTTTATTTATTTATTAACCAATTTTAATATTAATATTTACCTAATAATAATTCAAAAATGTTATCTAGAATATATTATAATTTATAATTTTTGTCAACGCACTAACTATACTATATTATATATAATTGATTTTGAATAATGCATTTTTTGGTTAAAAATAAAAGAAGTTGAACTTATTTTTTTTTAAATATTTTTTTTATACAAATACAAATACTTGGAATGTATTTAAATACTTTTTTTATTTATTTTTAAAGACAAAAGATTTAGAGGTTACACATGATATAGCTGAATTACTAGAAACCAATACTACGTGCTCCCAACATATTACACCCGAAAATGAAGTACAGCAGAAGCTCGATAATTTGATAAAGACCACACGAAACATTTTGGAGATTGAAAGTGACACCGACGAAGTAAGTCGATTTTTGGAAAATTAGTCAGTTATTAATTATTTTTTAACAATTTTTTTTATATAGAACACTGAAGAGGTAGTTTCCGATCATCCTGCTACATACCGACGCAACATTGCTGCACAAAATTTAAAATCTCAAGCGGACAGAATGGTAACCAGAGGCWAAGGCATCCTCCCTCCCTTAAAAGTTGGTGACAATGTTCTTTTGTCAATTCCATTGGTGGATCGAGGGCGAAGAGATGCAGCCAACCTTCTTTCAGTTATAATAGAAGAAAAAGATGGAAAATGTCGTATCACGACGAAAGAAGGGATTCTGAACACATGGCTGGGGCGGAACAGTTTGGCTGCTACAAAGTACTGTTCTCTAACGACTGCAAACGTTCAAAATTTAGAAAAATGAATATTCTTTACGGGAACTAGTTCGATTAGAGTCAGTTGGGACCGGACAAGGATATCGACGTTGTACTTGCCGTACGAATTGCACATCAAAAAAGTGTACATGCAGGGAAAATAACATGATGTGTAATTCAGCGTGCCACCCCGGCCGTAGTTGCCAAAACGTATAAATATAATATAAATATATAACTAAACATATTAATATAATTTCATAACTTTCGACTTTTTTTATTTTTTTTTACAACTTTTTACACATAAATTTATTATTACAATATGATTTTATTATATTTCCAGTGTTTTATGTACAATCATAAATATAACACATTAATTTATATTGAATTATGTGTTATCATTATTTTAAGAATGGTCTTGCCGATTTCATGCAATCGGCAGTATTATGCATTTAAAGTTGCCGATTTCACGTTGTCGGCAACAGCGTTGGAGATTTCATGAAATCAGCAATTTTTCTGCCGATTTCATGTAATCGGAAATTTCATAAATTCGGCGTAACATATATATCTTTTTCAACAAAATCTCATAATTATTCTCAATATTTATTCATAAAACTAAGGACTTATTTTTTCGCCTTTTCTAAAATTCCAAATTAATTATCAATTATCAACATATAAGGTCTTACCTCTTGCCGTCCAAAAAATGAGTATTATTTATTTCAATTACTATATATCACAAGGTCTTACCTCTTGCCTTTTCAAAAAATCACAATTATCAATATCCCAATTACTTTATAATCTAAGGTCTTATTTCTTTCCTTACTAAAAATCTCAATTATTCTCAATTATTTATATATATATATCCTTTAATATTCTTTAAAATTATCAATTCACTTATTTTCATTTATCAATACTCATTTAATTCTCATTAAATTATTTCTCGTTATAACGTTATTCTCATTTATATCTTTTTATTTTACCTAGGTTTTATTTGTGCCTATTTATTTTATTATATTATTAATCAATAATATTCATTAAACGTACATATATTATCTGAATTTATCATTTTAATTTATATTTTTATATAAAAATAATATGTTTATCAATTTAATGTTCTAACGGTGGTGTAGGTGCACACACCAAAAGTTGTGGAATTTTTCAAAATTTTCGAAAAAATTTACTTTCGCGAAAAATTCTGCTTCTCCTCCTCTTGAATTTTTTTGATGTTCTTCTTAGGGTTCCGTACTCGACTGCGCCAGATGTAGTGATCACGTCGCCTTACAGGTATCAGTAGTCAAGGATGATGTTGGAAGGTGACTCTTGAGTTAATTTAAACAACGTGGAATTCTTCTTAGTTAGATTATTTGATTATTTATTTTGACAAAACATATATTTATTTATAAACATGAAAACTGAATTTAATTAACAAGTTAAATATTTTGAATGATTAGAATAAATTCGGTTTGACTCGAATATTTTCTAAGTTCAGAATATTATTTTATGAGAATTTTTCTAAGTCTTAATTTAGAGAACAGACTGGCGTGAAGGTGCTCTGGATAGTCTGGTTAAGTCGCGTCTGAATACAGGCCGTTTCGGGGTCTCTTATATAGTACTACCCTCTACTCCCCATAGTCTACTTGCTCTTGTCGCTGTTCTCACGGATGTGGTATAATCATCTAAACTGACGAAAATGCCACTCGCCCACGTACAAGCTAAATGCGCATCCCATGCAGCTACAGACCTCGCTTAATTTATATTAGTATTAATATTATTATTATGTAAAAATATATATTATGATATGATATTATAACATCGGTTCTTGGAACTTTTGTATTGATGCATAACCCCACATCCTGTGCACACCTATCAATGATCTTTTACGGTCGTCTAACCACATGATTTCGTGTTTCCCTTACGTTAATGATTTCCACGAAATGCTTTCTCTCCTATAATTACAAAGTTGGTCGCACCCCACCCTAGCTTGGTTCAGCTGGTACCTAGTTGACCGTGAACTAGGCAATGCGGGACGCTAGTCCATAGCAATATTATATGATATTACACCTTTACTGTTTATACTAACAATAATCATAAGTATCATATTACAATCGGTGGGGACTGTCCATCGGTTATTA